CTCACTTACGCACTTACGCTCGGCTTTGTCCCTTGGGTAGGCTTAGTTGAGTTTACTAAGCCATAGGGACATGTTCTCTCATTACTTTCTCATTTTCTCTCTGTACTCCCCCTCAACTGGAGCACTCAGTATGCTTTGTCATTGTTAGGCACTGGGGAGGTTAACATTGAACACTCCCCCTAAAATGTTGCATCCTTTGAGAGATTCCTTGCTTTGTCGGTGTAAGGTGCCAGGAGGAGAAAACTGAAACTCCCCCTCAGAATGTGCAAGGTTTGATTGCTCACAGCTTGTCATACCCGCCATGTGTGTGGAGCAATCTGAACAAGTACCACACATGACGGTTCCCTGAGCTCACCATGTAGAATTTCAGCATATTGAAGATTACATAATGTTGACGAGTCAGGGGAGGCTTCAGCAGTTGATTGTTGATTGTTGTAAGATGACCGTTGACGTGAGGTTGATTGAATTATCTACGATTTTCGGACCTTTACAGTTAGGTTTAGAAAATATTTGACCTCAGGGTTGACTTTGAAAGAATTTGAACAGAGTTGTCTAAGTTTTGACCTGGACATCGGTGATTTACAATGTTTGTCGGAAAACTGACGTTTTCACCCTCAAAGGCTGCGAGTGAGGGCGCGTGAGAATGGGTTCTGGGGCGTAGCCCAATAATAAATGTAGATCTTTTCGTTAGCTTTCCAACAAAAAAAAGTTTGCTCAAATCGGATCACCGAGTCAAAAGTTATGGCCAAAACAGTGCGGTGTCACAGAAAATCTCAAATATTGAGTTTTTGAGGAAAATCTTCGAGGTTGAGGTTCTCGATGTTGAATTATCGAGAGCAGGTGAATTTAAACAAAATTCTAAGGTAAAAACTCGAAATCCAAATCTGAAGATTTTAATTTCGAGTTTGCCTTGAAGAGTAATGACGAAATCCACCTGCAAAACAGACCTCAGAATAACGAAATCTTCAGAATTTCAAAATGTTTGGAACCTCGAAAACTTTGGAGTTTCGAAAAACCTCATAATATCGAAAACTTGTTGTTTGAAAAATATCAGAACATCGAAAGCTTCTAAAACTTTGATAAACAGGGAATCATTCAGAAATCTAAAATGTAAAGCTTCGATGAACTGCAAAGGATGTCAAGATTCAAATTATGAGTTCCAAGAAACTGCAAACTTTGAAAGATTCAAAACATCGAGAAATTCCGAAAATTCTGAAATTTTTAGAATGTCGAAATCCAAAACATCGAGTTCCTAAAACTCGAAATAAATTCCAAAACTCGCAATTCCAAAACTCTCAAATTTTAAAAACTCGAGGTTTAAAACTCGAGGTCAGAACTCGAGGTTTAAACTCGAGGTCAGAACTCGAGGTTTAAACTCGAGGTCAGAACTCGAGATTTAAACTCGAGGTCAGAACTCGAGATTTAAACTCGAGGTCAGAACTCGAGGTTTAAACTCGAGGTCAGAACTCGAGGTTTAAACTCGAGGCCAGAACTCGAGGTTTAAAACTCAAGTTGAAGACCGCGAGTTTTCAACTCGAGTTGAAGACCGCGAGTTTACACCTCGAGTTGAAAACCGCGAGTTTACAACTCGAGTTGAAGACCGCGAGTTTACAACTCGAGTTGACGACCGCGAGTTTACACCTCGAGTTGAAGACCGCGAGTTTACAACTCGAGTTGAAGACCGCGAGTTTACACCTCGAGTTGAAGACCGCAAGTTTACAACTCGAGTTCATGACTGCGAGTTTAAAACTCTCGATTTTTAAAACTTTCGAATTTTGAGAATCTGAAAACTGTTCTGAATAGCCCTGAAGGTCGTGATCCCTCCTGTATCTGTTTCAAGTCAAAATCGTTTCTGCAGCAGTGTATAATCATAAACTCGAATTACCATGAGAGTTCTCCAAAAAATTAAAGTTTGCAGAAAACGAAATAGGGATATGCTGCTGGATCGGTTTTGAAAGGCGATTCCAACAGTATAATTTTTACAGATTTTCGTTCACAAACAAGATTACAGGAGCAAAACTCTATATGAAGAGAAACAGAAGAAAAGCAGAGCATTGTTCGTTAGATCCAGGAAAATCGCAGATACATTCAACCTGTTTCACGCCTCAGCTCTGATACCAAATGTTGGTCCCAAAATACTTAACAAACAACAACCATAAGCAGTTATAAAGAAGCAGATAGAAAGATATGTCGAAGATTTAACGTGAATCTGGTATACCGTATGAAAACCGGCCGCTGCTCTCCCTGGAGAAGGAGAGCAGCGGCAACCCTATCTCTCTCTATCTTTACGCCTCTGAACTCTAAGCCTCTATCGATCGTTAGGGTTCTCGTAAGTTAGCCTCCTTTTATAGGAGAAGTTAGCTAACTTACGGGTTACAAGGAAGCCCACGGGCTGATACACATTTGTGGCCCGTATTACACGTTTAATTGATAACTACACAAATACAAAAATAACTAACTAGATTGAACACCATAAAATATTCCCAACACTCCTTGATGGCTATATTCTTATCCCGGCCCTCCGGGATCTTGGCCAGAATCCTCCCATTCTTCTTGAGAGCGGCGCTCCTCACCTTCTCGTGTCTCCTGAACCGGTCACGCAGTTCCCTCGGGAAGGGGCTCTCGGCTAACTTTACGTAGCACAATCGGTCTTTCCACCCTTTGTTTGAGGAGGGCGCATCAGTAAACAGCTTGAACAGGGCCACCTGCTGCAAGTTTGTGAAGCCCTCGGCATTCGCATGCCCCCCCCCCCCCCCCCCCCCCGGCACAGATTAAAACTTTGAAAGAAGAGGTCCAGGCTAGGCGTTACCCCCTCGGGAAAATCACAAAAATCACAAACATGCCCCCTCAAGTCCCGACATGTGGGTAACTGAGGGACTGCCCTCGGCAGAATAAACAAACAGCAAACTACCCAACACTCTACAAACTACAACGGAACAACAGCAGAGGACAAACACAATTACTCCTTTTCCTCATGTACCTTTCGGCAAAAGGAGTGAGGGACTCCTGATGGAGTATATGGCCCGGGAACCCCCGGTACACAGACTCCTAGTACTCCAACAAAGGCCCAATAGGCCCGGGAAGCACAACAGGCCCAAATCACGGCGCCCAAGGTACCAAGCAGCCCACAATGCGCACCAGGGGTGCCTTCGCCACCCTGACCGAAGGCTCTGATCCTCACAGGAGAGTCAAAACAGGAAAACAAAGTTACTGGGAGAAAACGGTGAAAATCAGTAGCTCTCGGCACCTAGAGCCCTCGGCACTAAGGAGGTCCCCGATACTCAGAGCCCTCGGCTAGTCCTCTACAGCCGAGGGCACCTTTTCCGACATAATATCCGCTCCACATGCGTATGGATCACCGTACCCAGTACAACGTCCCATCCAACAGCCGCATTAAATGCGGCCACATGCGATTGCCAGCGCCAACCAGTTGAGGTGACCTCTCGGCCAATGGACGCTTAACACGTGTCCCTGTCTGACATTTATTACTACTATAAATAGCACCCCATTTCCCCATTTGTAACCAAGACACAAGAAGCAAATACGCTGAATACACTTTCTAATATACTCTCTCTCTCTACTTACTTGCTCTGACTTCTCTCTAGTTATTCCCCGTAATATCCCCTCGGATAAACTACCCCCCGGGTACACTATCCATCACCATGTTTTTTCTTCTAGAATGAGATTTTTTTGTGTGGTAATCTTTTATTTGGGATTCCTCGAATGGTTCTAAAATATCTCGATTCCGATTTAAATAGAACAAAAGCAAGATAAAAACTTGTCTGCGATTGTTCCACACCATGATGAAGATGATTATTATTATTATTATTATTATTATTATTATTATTATTATTATTATTATTATTATTATTATTATTATTATTATTATTAGTAGTAGTAATTAGGACACCCCAATTTTAAACCCCTTGATCTAGATGTTGATGTATTCAACTTTTAGGGAGAAGAATCGATAAGAGAAACGAGCACATCATATTAAACATAGATATGCATTCACATATAGAAGCCAACTTTCCGGAATCCAGTACTAGTAATGTGACTCTTCACTCTTGAGAATAAGAGTTGGTTTATTAGGCACCTGAAAGGATCTAAAACTCAGCTCAGTCTCGCTCATCCACACCAGTGGTCTATAGTCCTCTGCGTGCCATGAAAACTCCTGGTTTCACCAGCTATTGTCAAGATAGCCCCTGCCTCCACAGTCCACACCAAGACCCTGTCAACTCGCTCTCTCATACCCGCATCAAAGGTAGCGAGGGTACACCAAACATGACAATCCCACCTAAAGCTCCGGCGAGGCTGCCCACCAGCCACCACCCCCATTTTAGTAAACTGCTACCCAAATTCATCTCCTTGCGCTCTGTATACCTGTCATGATGCTCATTCAACTTCTTGTGCTGCACCTCAGACTGGGCCATGATTGCCATTGCCTGAACCAGTAGCACAACAGCAAGTCCACCTCTGGATCCCGCATTTTCAGTAACCTGCTATCTATATCCATATCCCCATGCCCAGTGCACCTCTCCTGCTGCACATCCATCTCGCGTCTCACCTTTGGCTGGCGTGTAATTGTGGCAACTTGAAGCAGTAGAACAACAGCACCCCTAATGTCAACCACTGACCTCCCTCCATGAACAGATAGATTACCACAGGTCACACACCAACAAAGTGAATGACTGGAGATGAGCAGGGAGGAAAAGGCAAGCCACCGACTAGGCAAGGCCATGCACTACCACCTAGGCTGTATGCTCCACAATGACATTAACTCTTATGGGCGTATTATACTATGAATAACTATGTTGACGTGCGTAGATTATAAACTTTCACATACAAATTTTCTTTATAGGCGCACGGAATTGATATTTACCAGCTATGATATTTTACAACTCTACAAGTTCAAGTAGTCGTCTTTGTTTTTTCTCTTGTACAATCTCTCAGCATCATATAAAACTATGCACTTTCAAGAAGTAAAAAAAGCATTGATTGGTTAATTTTGCTTATCAGAAGAATAACAAATGGCCATAACATGCTCATTAGCTGAAAATGTATTTACAAAACGTTGTTCTTTTAGAAAAATCAGCAGTTAGCTATATCAGCTGAAAATCCCTTACTATACGGGCTCTAATTTGGACAGACTGATGTATTAAATAACTAGATGTGGAAGACCACTACATCTGAGTGGCGAGGATGATACTACTCTCTATCATATACATATCACTTGAGCGGTGTCAAAATTAAATGAAAGATGTTCCACAAAACATATATGCCATATTATGAAGACAAAACATGAAACTGGTGAGCAGCACAAGGACTAAGGCACAACTTTTCACCATATCCACCTTCGCGGGTTCCATAATTGTCTTGAGCAAAGCCTGACAGAAAAAGGGATCAGCAATTTTCTTTTAGTATGCAATTAGTTGAGATGCGAGTTAGAAAGAGAGTAACGGAATCATTCAACTATATACTCCGTAATAGATTCTTACTGCTTGGTGTGAGTGAAGCAGCAGCAGCAGCAGCCATTGCTCTCTTCTCTGCATCTACAACTTCAACGCGTAACGTATCTATTTCAGCACAAATACGAACCATATTCATCTCCATTATGCCACTCTGTTTAAGGTTAACGACTTTCATTTTCCTTTCATACTCAACAGCATCCCTGTCCATGTCCATATCCCCAAAAATCTAGTTAATAGATGAAGACAACACTTGAGAATGTACATTATTGACTTTCAAGATGAAAGGTTAATCCTAAAAGTTGAATGCCTATGCGAATTAAAGTGCATCAAGTTGGCAAAGACATGCTCTAATATGTCAGTCACTACACCAAGCGAGAGGAAATTAGTTAACGCAAAACCTCTTCTGGACACTTTTGGCAGGCATTAACACAAAAGCAACATGAGGCAGCCAAAGAGGGCTCTCCCTGTGAACAAATCACATTGAGTTGATCTAGTGCTATGCATGGGTTATATGAGCTAGTGAGCTACTGTTACACGATACAGCTACATCTATGCATAGCCGCATATGCTCCCTGAATAGCAGATGTGTATGATGTATCCGGATAGGTCTCCCTTATCTTCATGTTATATTTCTTTTCAAAGTGTGGATTAAGTCATTCAGCAGCACTATTGCTGCACTTTTTAACATAATCAGATACACAAATAAACTTTTACATTGTTAGCATTACCTGGACCCATGAGGGTTTTTGCTTTCAACGAATCTGCAAACGGGAAATACTTACACAAATACACATACATTAGTAGTGCATCAACCCATTATGAATGACTGAATACACCATATTATTTACATAATCGAAATGTCAATTTCACATTTTCACGCAGCTGAATATATAAATCTGTGCTACTGAAATACCTCCCTCTTTGAAGTTCCTTGTGCATGGCCTGAACTTTAGCTTTGATCCCCAGAATCTGCACCAAATCCGAAAGAACCCCCATGAGCGCATCCTCAATCTCATTCAACTTAGAAACAAGGTCTTTGCGGCGGGCACTCATGTTCTCTGCATCCGCGTTAACCTGTGCCAACTCATTTCGGAGCTTGTTGAGTGCAAGGACCTGGGCTTCCATTCCAAGTGACTTCTCATAGGCCTCACGCACCCTCGCATCTTCCTCAGCCTCGACGGAGGAGGCTATAACAGCTAGGTGTTGGAGCTCCTTCTGAGCGGCGGAGAGCTTCCGCTTCAGACGGACATGCGAGGCGGCGAGACTTTGCCTTTCATGTGAAAGTGCTTGAATTTCGCGGTGCTGGGAAGCGATAAGTTCCTCCATTATGACCGACGGTTGAAGTCGTGGTCGCGGTGGGAAGATACGTCGATGATCTCCGATTTCAGGCGGGTCGCCCCGGAGATTCAGTGCACTTGGCGGTAGATAATTTCGACCCGCCATGAGCTTCGATGCAGCGCTGCGTTTCATCGCTATATCACGCTCTCATTGTCACGATTTCCTCACGTGTATATACGTGGCCAACGGAATTTCATTTGCAAATTTCCGTCTACCAATATTATTTCCTTTTTCACCCATTTATTGTTCTTCCGGTAGAGACATTATCCGTTGAGCGCTCTTCAAACCTGAGATTTCAACGGGATATCGCCTAAATGAAAAAAGAGATTTAAGGAGAGTTGGGCGACAGCCCCATAAATTTTCAAAATTTTCTCTTATATGTAACCTTTTAATAAATTTTTCATACTTCTACTTGAATATATATGTGTTTGCCCCTTTAACTTTTAATTTTCAAAAATTAATATATATTTTTACATAATATAATACGGAGTACTTAATAGGAGATTTTAAAGGAGAAGCATCTAAAATAAATTATTAGTATTTGGAAGAATAAACAATAGAGCAAGTTATTGCTTTAAGACTTAGGATACTTATTATATAAAAAATTCTAGTTTTGTAATATTTAATTTATCTTTATTATATAAATAGTATTCAATTTAATAAAATATCAAAAAATATTAAATACCATACCAATTAGTATAATATGAGGTGAATCCTAAATATAAATGTTTGTATGACATTAAATAACATGATTCATTTATCTCTTATTTATTGAATATAATTTATTTCAAAATAACAAGGATTCACTTATTTCATAAAAATGACATTTCTTTTAGAAAAAATGGCATTTTTTACATTGGTCGGATGTGCTGGTGCAGGGAGGCAGTACAGGCGGTGGGAAAGGCATCCATATTTTTTTATTTTTTATGGATTTTTAATTTTTTATATTAATTTTCAAAAAAAAATTGTTTTTTTTTATTTTATAATATTTTATTGATTTTTTTTTAATTATTTTTATACAATTTTTATTATATTTTACGAATTTATTATGAATTAAAATATTTAATTATGACTTTTGACTACCTTTTACGCATATTTAAAGGGGTAAGAATGGAATGAAAAAATAGGTATGTTTCCAATAGGAGTAATATTGCCCTATTTGGAATAAAAATATAAGATGTCCTATTTTTTATTTTTGTCATAGTTTTACTCCTATTTGGGGTAATTTCTGATACTTCTTCTAGAACACTTCAATTATGAAATCCAATTTACTTTTCACATAGTGTAAACTTAGAGCATAACAGATTTAAATGTCGTGTATGTACTAATGTAATTATTTTGAATTAAACAATATAGCAGATCCTTATACTATTGAAAAAATGCCCCACTACACTATCAAAAAAAAATTGCTCCCTTACAATTGCCAAAAACATTGCCCCCAACCTTAAGTCATGGTTCTTTCCCTGACTTCAATGATGTCACTACCTTTAGCCGCCCTTCATGGAGGCACTACCACTCAATGTCATTAAATATAAAAAGCAAGAAAAAAGAAAATTAATGAAGCATGTTATGGCACTATTTATTGCCTTTGATTGAAGTGCACGTCTGCATAACACACTCCTTCAATGCACTCATTCACTGAACAATATCAATACTGACGATTATAGTGTCAGCCTGAGCAAGGAAGACCGAACTCCCTAAGTGCAACGTACCCTCGTACTTCATCTCTAGTCATCAATCCAATGCCGACCTCCGAACACCCCATCAACTCTAATTTCAAGGAGGATAAGGAGGAGGATGACTTGAATGTCCTATTGAAAGAGGAAGAGATAAGATAGATGATGAGAGGCGGATTGTAAGGGGAATGTGAGGGATGGTATAGATGAGTAACCTCTAGTAAAACATATTAACTCGTATTTTGACTTTTTATCTATGTTTTAGTGCTATTTTAAGACAATTTCTCACAATATTAATGATACCTCAGAATCTACTAATATTTCTTCTTCTTTTCAGAATAACATCAATATTGTTAATCCCTTAACTTCTCCTCAAAGAAAATCTTCTAGAGTAAGAAATATTCCTGCTTACAGCATTATGATTATAATCTTCCTGATTCTTTAAAACTTGTTCATCAATCTTCTTGTAATCTCATAAGATATCCTATATCTAATCATATTAGTGATGCCAGCCTTAATCTTTTTTTAGTGGGGTGATGCCAGACTTAATCAATCTTATAAATGTTTTACTGCTAGTATTTCTCTTATTAAAGAACCTAAAACTAATAAACGGGCTATTAAACATCCTGAATGACAGATTGTCATGAACACTGAAATTCAAACACTTGAACAAAATAATACTTGGACCCTTGTTAATTTACCACCTCAACAACATACTGTTGGGTGCAAATGAGTTTATAAAACTAAACTAAAATCTGATGGCACTTAAGAAAGATATAAAGCTAGGTTAGTTGCTAAAGGCTATACTCAAGAAGAATGATTAGATTATTTTGATATTTTTTCTCCTATTGTAAAGTTAACTACCGTTAGACTTCTTCTTGCTATTGCTACTACAAAACATTTGTTTTTACAACAACTTGATATTAATAATGCTTTTTTAATGGAAATGTTTTAGAAACTATATATATGCAGCCTCCTCCGGGATATCTTCTTCTAGGTGATATCAGAGCATGTAAATTGCAGAAAAGTCTATGTGGCCTTAAACAGACTTCAAGACAATGGTATTACAAATTGTCAGAATGTCTTCAAGGTATTGGTTATATTCAATCTCAGGTTGGTTTTTCTCTCTTTACAAAAACCAATGACAATTCTATAACAATATTACTCTTATATGTTGATGACATAATCCTAGCGTGTAATGATAAGATTGAAATTAATCATGTCAAAACTGTCTTACATCATAAATTTACTATTAAAGATCTTGGAGATCTTAAATATATTCTTGGAATTGAGATTGCGAGATCTGAAACATGTATTTCTCTTTCTCAAAGAAAATATACTTTAGACATTCTTGCTGAAACTGGCTATTTAAATTGTAAACCTTACAATACACCCATGGATATCAAAATTAAACATTCAAAAGAAAATGGCACTGTTTTAACTGACCCTAACGTTGATAGAACATTTATTGGCAAACTTTTATATCTTACAATCACTAGACCAAATATTGCCTATAATGTCCAACCTTTAAGCCAATTTCTTTCCAATCCTACTGATATTCATCTAAATGCTGCTCATAGAATTCTCAGATACCTAAAAATGCTCTGTAAATTCCGCGCTTAAACTTATTGGATAGAGTGATTCAGATTGGGCAGGATGTGTTGACACCAGAAGAAGTGTTTCCGGTTATTGCTTTTATCTTGGAAATTCTCTTATTTCCTCGAAATTTAAAAAATAACCTGTTGTTAGTAGATCCTCTACTGAATTGAGTATAGAGTTGCTGCTAATGTTGTTTGTGAAGCACAATGGCTTCTGTATCTTTTAAAAGATTTTAAAATAAAACACAATTTTCCTGTTAATTTATATATTGATAATCAATCTACTTATTTTTCTAGCTCATACTCCTGTTCAACATCAAAGAACTAAACATACTGAACTTTATTGCAACCTTATCACGAAAAAAATATCTACTGGTTTAATCAATCATGTACTAATAAAAAATAATTATCAACTTGCAGATGTTTATACCAAAGCTCTTGGAAATCCACTCTTTGAAGATTTCACTGTCAAGATGAACCTATTGGACACCCATGCTCATCTTGAGAGGTATCAAGGAGTTCAAAATAATAGAGTTTTTTTCGAATTAATGTTAATTAATTAATTAATTATGAAAATAATGTTGGGTTAAAAGTATTTACGGATCTACTGCTGGGTTTAACCGTGGTAGGGGTAAGTCGCCCAACCGTTGGGCGACTTACCCCTTAAACATAAGTCGGGTTCGGGCAGAACGCAACATTTCCCCCAAATCCCCAAAACTCCCAAACCCTCTGCAGCTCCCCCGACTCCGGCGAAGTGCGGCGACCCACCTCCCCCCGACTCCGGCGAAGGTTAATCTCCGCCGAGCGACGACAAGGCCTCTATATCTTGTCAATACTACTTTCCTTTCATCTTTTTCAACAATCTAGGTAAACAAATATCTCCAATTTATCTCATTTTTCATTTTAGGGTTTAGAATATAGAAAATTGGAATTTGTGAATTAGGAATTCATTTGTGAATTGATTTGTTGTGTAATGTGAATATGTATGAAGTGTTGTATGTTGATGTTGAATTCATTGTTATATAATTTTTTTTGAACTTTGTTATGTAATGTAGATTTGGAGGTATGAATTGAAGTTTGTTAAATTTTTGAACTTTATTAGTGCTAAAAAATTTAAGGTGAGATAACAAAGAAATCTTCATTTAAATCCACGCGTATTAACAAATTAAGAGTGGAAATGATAATTTAAACTTTATTAATGCTAAAAAAATTAAGGTGCGATGAGTTCTTCGAGTGCTGAGTCTTGGTCGATGGATGCAAGTATGCAACAAGGCGAATTAAGAGGTGTGACTGTGGACTCTAAGCACCAGTGTGGACTGCTACAACAGATAAAAACAGGGGGAAAAGATTTTATGGGTGTGGTCGTTTCTTGAGTGGTCAAAAGTGTAATTTCTTTGAATGGGTTGAGGATGAACAATGTGGCACTTGCCTGAGACGAATAGAGACCTTGCTTCAGAAGATTACCAGTGTTGAAGATTAACATTAACTATAAAATGTATAGCATAAATACTAATTTTGTATCTTTATAAAACAGATTACATGGATGCAGAGTTTGCAGAGTTGCCCCCAGCTTTACGAGAGCATACTGACATATGGCGAGCACGTGTGTCGTTGATATGTTTTGACATTGTTGAGTTTCATTTGCCTGGTCGAGTCTTGCGACAGTTTGGGTTTGAGCAGGTCATTCCACGGCCTATCGACACTTATGTAGAGCTTCATAGGCTGGATAGGCGTGGGAATCATTCGGAGGATTGGGCACTCAGACATGTCCGATACGTCACTATGTGGGACATGCGAGCTGAGCTAGTTGTGACTGGCACACCGACATTTGACCCATCTGTTTCAGGAGACTACATGGAATGGTATTACAGCATCACTCGTTTGTTTGTGTCTCCTTCGTTCAGACTCCCTACTCATCATTATCAGCCTAGCTCCTTGGCTTTGCATCTTACGGTGAGTATATTACTAATTAGTAAAGTAAGTCATTTTATTTATTGAATACTTGTATGTATTTCAATGTAATTGTAATTGTGTTTCATATTTCAGACATGAG